TTATTTAATTTTTTAGTTATTTATTATTTTATTGAAAAAAATATTTACATTATAATAATAAAATGTTCAATAAGAAATGCCATATTTTCCAGAATGTAAGTCACGTTTTTTATCATCTGAAACATGCTGCCACTTATATTCCAAAGTGGCTTCTATAAAGCACTTTCTGTCAAACACGCACAAACATTTTAGTTCCATGAGTACAACTTTGTTTGTATAGCGTATTTCCCACATGCTTGTAGCTTCGATTTCACTTAAATCAGAGTCACGGTTTATTTTGAGTTGTAGGTTTGTTTTATACTTGTATTTTTGTATTTTTGTCAAGACGGGTTTTAGTTAATAAAGGAACTCCCTTTCAGAGATTTTTTCTCCTTTTTGTTTGTTAAAACTAATAAATAAATAAAACCAATAAAAATAACAGAAACTTTCAAATTAAGGTGAAAGCGGAAAATATATATATTTTTAATAAATAATGAATAAATACTATATAAACATTTCAAAAAAACTAAAACTAATAAAAATGACAAAAAACAAACTAAAATTAAAGTGAAAACAGAAAATATAAAAATGAAATTGTATTCAAAATATTAACAAAACTATTAATACTAAGCTGACACTGGATCAGAGAATGTTTACGCTGAGCTTAAGCGTGTTTTTTATTTAAAGGGATCATCTTGTGTGCAGAAGATTTTGATGCACTACGTAGTCAAATTTTGCAGACTCCATCTGTCTTAAAGTTACAGAACATTCTTTTAATTAATTCCAAGGTTGTAAGGGTAAATTATGGCTGTTTTGGTGCAAGAAACCTTGATTAAAAGTGGACTGCTGAGAAAAAAAGATACATTACAACCCTCTACGGACACCTTGGCAATTGAATTGCCATTGGCTAGTACATTTTTTTGTTTACTCGCCAGACTGAAATACTATACTAGACTATATATATATATATATATAAGTTATGCCATTTTACAAACATATATAATGTTTGTAAAATAGTACAGCTTTTTAAATATCAGGCAGTCAAGCATTATAATATGATAATCAAGTATTATTTAATAATAGAAGTTTAGTAATTAGAATTAAAACTTGGTAACCATGAACTTAGGACTGGTGCTGGTGCTTTTTTTGGTCATTCAGTGTTCCTGTAAAAAAAACAATAATACTGATAAGGTATTATTATTATACGAAATCTACTAATAAGAACAATATAAAAACGCACTAAGGATTAATGAGCTACTGGATTCATGAATATTAATCCGGTTGTGTGCGTTCGCTCGAACTGATTCGCTGAAATCAAAACCGGGACGATAATAGGTGAGCGCCAGCCAATGAGATTAGTTCCGCCCACTACAGGAAAACCCGGCAGTTCTTAAAAGCTGAAGAATTCCAAATAAACTCCGTTATTTTTTCAGGGAAATACAACAAAGTATATCGTTTACATGTAGCGCATCAATTCTGCATGTTATGTAAGACTCTCGCTCGCTCTGAGAGAAAGTGACGGCAAGTCGTGCGCCTTCACACTAGAGTTTACGTTACGCCAAATACACAAACACAGGTGCGCTGCGCATCCATTCAGATGAACTGAAAAATATCAGATCGCTTGACTTGATTGCAGATTGCTCAGTCAGAGTGTTCTGTGAGTGAAAATATATCTGTGCTCAGCATCCAACTCACACACTGACGAGTAAAATCTGAGAATGTATTAGCCATCGGCTGATATTAGACATCATTTAGTCGCCCAGAGTGAAGATTTAGTCGCATATGCGAGTGATTTACTCGCAATGTAGAGGGTTGCATTCAGTACATTCTGGGTCCTTTCATCCCTCTTTTTATTTTTTTTCCTCGTCTCTCCAGCTAACTCTCTTCCCATGCCACTTCAAGGAGCAAAGCTGTGGAAAAAGCGAGAACATGTGAAGTCAATGAGTTATTTAGATCACAGCTGGTATGAGGGCTTCATTTCTGTAGCGGTGAGATGTTGATAATTGTTATGTGCTAACGAGCGGATTTAATTGGTGTGTGTTGAACACACACTGAACGCAGGTAACATGTTCACACTATCGGGCTTCACGCAGTTTTCTCGTCTCTCCATGCGTGCCACCCTGGGCTCTGAATAATTCACAGCCTCTTCTGGGTGCTCATTGTTGGCCATTTGAGGGGTCCATGATGGGCACGGGGCCAGCGTCAAGGCCAGATCACCTCATTATAGCTGAAGGATTCTCATGCTGCTGTTTTGCCCACAGTTGCTGTCAGCTCTTTTGTGTATTTTTATATAATAGCGCTCTAGGGATGTGCTGTATGTGCGCAGTCTTATCAGGGTGTGAGTACATCACTCTAATCTTATCACACTGTAGATATTTGTGCCTCAAAGTCTACTAAAAATTGTTTGTATATTAATAAATAGCCAAGTGGTAATGGCAATTTTTTTGATAATGTAGTCAATTAATTAAAATAAAGTGCTTAGTTTTTTTCCTTTTTTTTTTAAATGATCCATTGAAACTAAACTGAATTAATTTATTATATTGTAATTTTGATAATGCATAGTGAAAACACTAGGCTGCTTTTGAGTGGTTGTCAGTGGAGAAACTGTAGCTGTACTGTACTGTAGCTACTGTTCAGTGTTAACCAGCTAAAGGTTGACCTCTAGATTCAGCTGGAGAAACGGAAGGCCGGATCCATTATAGACAGATCCATTACTCTCCGCTAGGGCCTTTCGGAGGCTTTAATTGAGCTCGTCTCCAGGGCCTGTTGTCTGCTGACTGTTGTCGTATCACACAGATCTGATTATGTGGATACGTAGATAACTGTAATGACTAACTTCAGTTGAAATGAAGACGACGTCAGTCATTAAATAAACCTCAGATGAATCACCGTTCCATATAGGCTACAGATTTCCTATTTGTCACATGTTTGATCGTCGATGGACCGGTCAGATTGATTCAATAGTCGCCTGATGCGTGCAGGAGCTTCTGTGTGTGTTTCTCCGAGAAATTGTGCATGTGTCCTTTAGCAAGAAGACATTCAGCTCTAACAAACGTGCTCTAAATACCTGCAGCATACCGCTTTAGTTAGGAAAAGCCTTGGTGATAATAGCATTAAAAAGCTTAGGACAAACCGGAGATGATAGAATGGAAGGCAGTCATTTGTTTAAAGGTTTCGGGTCTCAGGTAAGCAGTTTAACTGTGATTAGGACTGATTTTTGTTGTTGTTGTTGTTTTTTCACAACTGCGCACAATTGATTGTGACCCTGTCTTGAAGATTTGACACACTTGACATCATTCTGCAACTCTGAGGTTCACACATCTCACACGTCAGCAAAGCATCAGCGCAGCTGCAACAGCAGGATCACACCGAGTTCTCACATCGTTTCTGCTGCGACTCTACACGCATGAGCATTTCATTTAGTGACTGCCATTAATTACCTGTTGAAAATTGTCATACATGAAAGGTGCCAAATTTGTCCTGTTTTAATGAATGTAAATATTAATCCAAATATGAATTAATGTACAGAGAATGGAAGCCAGACCCCAAAATGAGACTAAAAATTGCATTAATCATCAGATTTAGTGAACATAAAGTTTTTGTCTTTTAACATGCAGAAAAATCAGGATCAGCTGTTGCTATATTATATTATTTTATATTATTTCATAATTTATATTATATTTGTCTGCTACATCAACATGCAGAAATATTTGGATCAGCTGTATTATATTATATTATATTATTAGTAATACACTGGCAGCAAAAATTTATTAATTTTACATTTTGTCCATTTAATGCACAAATTTGTCTAGAGAGGAGCATTTTGATAAATATATGCACTAAATTACATATTCATTATACTTTTACGATCATCTGCAAGCTTACATCGACATAAAACAGGAACAAAAACTTTATTGACTTAAATTTTACTTAATTTGTGATATAAAAATGCAAAGAAAAAAAATATTATATTTCTTGTTATTAACATAATGAACTAAACATTACATTACGTCAAGGTTTCATGGGAGTTCATGAGTTTAATGAAAAGCTAATAATTAAATCATAATGTCAAATTAAAATATATATAATTTTAAAATGACAACAATCAAAATAAAACACTTACTAAAAATTTTTTTATAATTTGTTTACCTGCATATCATGTTACCATTAACCAACGTCAGAGAACCACGAACATGCAAATGTGTTACTTAATTATTAACATATTACCTTAAAATTTCAGGGGGGATTCGGCTGATAAAAAAAAAGTTTGGGAATCCCTGCATTACATGTAAATAAGAAATAACGTGAATTTGTGCATTTTAATGTGTTTGAAAAGAAGAAAGCCTTCCAAAGACACAGTAATACATGGTTAAATAACCTACTGAGTGATAATTCAAATAAATATTAATAGAGATGCACCGATTGCAATTTTCATGGCCGATTCCGATTTTTTTTGTTAGTATTATCTGCTGGTACCGATTTTTGCTGATTCCGATTTTCTTTCTAAGAACTATAATTGACAGCACATACAAACAAAAATCTACTTTTCTTCAACGCAAAGTTTTATTTTCATAAAAAACAAGTAAAAAGTCAGTAATAAAATAAGAACACAAAAAAATTGCAAACAACAGCAACATTTTTTTGGTTAACATTTTTGAAAATTTTGGCTTCTGTGTTTCTGGTAAAAAAAATAATAATTCAGAGCATCACTAATTATTAGGGATGCACAATACTGGATTTTTGCCGTGATTAAATCGTCTGCGATTATGAACACATGATTTTGCGTAGCTTGTCAGTGAACTACGGCTCTGTGTAGTAAATGCCGCTCCATCTGAAAGCACGTGATGGAGATTTACTACTAATCACAGAACCTGCTTTACTGACAAGATGCGCATGACAATCGCATTCGATTAATCGTGCAGCCCTAGTTCCGATAATATCGTGCGTCCCTACTAATTCTATTAATTACCAATGAATGCAGTGCCCTGTCTTCATCCATCAATGCTCCTCTTTATTTGTAGGGTTCCACCTGATCCCTCGCGTGTCCTCCATCGTGCCGGAGAGCTGTCTGCTGATCGTGGTGGGCCTGCTTGTAGGCGGTCTCATTAAGATGGTAGGCGAGGACCCTCCGGTGCTGGAGTCCAAGATCTTCTTCTTCTACCTGCTACCTCCCATCATCCTCGACGCCGGCTACTTCATGCCCATACGGCAATTCACTGAGAACCTGGGCACTATTCTCATGTTCGCAGTGGTGGGAACGCTCTGGAATTCCTTCTTTGTCGGTGGTCTGCTGTACGGGGTTTGCCAGCTCGAGGGCCATAAGCTGGCGTATGTGGACCTCCTGTCATGCCTGCTGTTCGGCTCCATCATCTCAGCCGTAGACCCCGTGGCTGTTCTGGCTGTGTTCGAGGAGATCCACATTAACGAGCTGCTCCACATCCTGGTGTTCGGAGAGTCGTTACTTAATGATGCCGTCACTGTGGTGAGTATGTTGAATGGCTGCAGTCAGTGGTTAAATATTAGGGGGAAAAAACGGATATTAAAAATATACTGTCTTTATGTTGCTTCCACATTCATTTTAAGATTGAATGTGAAATTCTTGCAATATAAAAGTATATTTAAAAACCTTAATGTTAGGTGGGATTAATCATGATTAAATTCAGAAAAAATGTGTGATTAATTAATTATTTTTAATCGATTGACAGCACTAATATGGGTGTGTGTGTATATATATATATATATATATATATATATATATATATATATATATATATATATATGTGAGACTGTGGTGAGTATGTTGAATGGCTGCAGTCAGTGGTTAAATATTAGGGGGAAAAAACGGATATTAAAAATATACTGTCTTTATGTTGCTTCCACATTCATTTTAAGATTGAATGTGAAATTCTTGCAATATAAAAGTATATTTAAAAACCTTAATGTTAGGTGGGATTAATCATGATTAAATTCAGAAAAAATGTGTGATTAATTAATTATTTTTAATCGATTGACAGCACTAATATGGGTGTGTGTGTATATATATATATATATATATATATATATATATATATATATATATATATATATATGAGAGAGAGATAAATAAGTTACAATAAATGTTTTACATAGCACTGTATATTATTAATTTTTTTCAAATTCATTGATTTTATTATATAGATATACATAGTCAAACCAAAAATTATTCGGACACCAGATATAATTTTTTATATATATTTTTTGTATATATGTATTTATTTTTTATCTTATATAAATGTGTGTATATGTGTATATATACATATAATATCTTAAAAATAAATACATATATACAAAAATACACATAGACAGAGAGAAATGTATTTTGATATATATGATAAACAGTTTGCAAATAAGCAATATATATAATTTATTCTAATTAATGTATTATTATTATTATTAAGATAGATAGATAGAGTTAATGTGCAATCTTATTTTAATTAATTAAATTATTATTTTATATTTGTTATTGGCAGTAAGTCATTTTTTGAGCACCGTGCCTCTAGATCTCAGCATCAGTTATAGCTTGCTATCGATCAGCCGCTGGTCTCGGTATAATCTATGGGATTGTTCCGGTCCTGCTGTCCCTGGGAGAATTCACCGCACACGTGTTCACTCTCACAGCTCAGTTTATCAGCTGATTGAGTCTTGTGAAGAGGCGTCTCGTTTCCTTTACCTCAACTGTTTTTCCTCGACCGCTTGACCTCATTCTTTCAGTGAGCTTCTGTCTCGAGTGGTCAATGAAACAAATCACACTTAGAGGTGATCAATGAAAGAAGTCAAACACGATATCAAGTGTTCAGTGAAGTCCTCCTCCGCTAATCTGAGGAGTGTTTGCGGTCCCGCTTTGCACGTCTCCATTGGGAAGCGGTAAATTATTGTTTGAGTTTTTTGCACAAGGACAGAAGGCTCTGATAATATTGAATGACTGTACTTCATAAAGTCTAATGCTGTGCATCTCAGCATAAGAGAAAAATTACTAAATCTGGATTTTTACGGATATTCGCAAGAATCCTCGTGATACAGTCATGGCTAAAGTGTTGAACTAACTAACCAATTAGCTATATGTTTATATAACTAACTAAATAAATAAATAATGAATAAATTTATATAATCTAAATCATATAAATATAATATAATATTTTCATGTATATATGTGTGTGTGTGTGCGCATATATATATATATATATATATATATAT